CTTTCATGTTACAGAACTGTCCCGTTCGTCGGATATCTAGCTTTCTGAGTGAAACTGGCACGTCTACAGAAAGGCTAATGTAAGGCTGGCAAGCGCAGAAGCCTTTACCGTCTTGTGGAAGATGCCTAGGGCACACGCAGAAACCTTGCTTGGAGCTAAGCAGTCCCATACTTCCTCGTGGAAAGAGCCTTGGGTTCAGAGCTCACTGGCAGGCTTACTTGCTTTTGCCTTTGACCTTTCCCTTGGGCTTGCCCTGGCCCTTCGGATTGCCTTTGGCTTTGCCCTTCTGCCGATTTGCCTCTTGGCTTATTTCCCTATTTCTCAGTCTGTCTTTCTTGACTGGCAAAGGCACAAACCTCCTTCGTTCCCGTGCAGTTGTGATATTATGGCGGAGTGTGAAGCGCAGGATAGTGTGGCTGTCCTTATCCATGGAACTGAAGAAGAGAGGCTCAATTCCTGCACACATAAGGAATTCACTTAGCCTTGATGTTGTAATCATATTCTGCTGCAGGTTGGCCGGCCCATTTATTGATGGTCTGGCTGTGACCCCACTCAATCACGCAAGCAGCCACGCAATCCGCATTAGGATCTTCAGGGCGACACTTGACCTCTAGCTCATTCCAGGGCGTGCCATAGCGCTGCTCAAAATATCTGAGATGCTCAGTCGTGTTGCCTGAAGCGAATCTCACATTTAGCTCTTGGCGCACGGAACCAACCCTACGGACAGGGCGCCAGACAAGTCGGCGCCAGTCCGACATTTGACTCGGTTCCTCACCGTGGAGTGAGCCTCCTGCTGCATCACCTTCGGCAATCAGCTGAGCAATCCGCTGTAGGAAGTTGCCCGCAACCAAAGGGAGCCTCCCGCCCTTACGCTTGGCGGCATGGGTTCCAAGCAGGCGATGGCCAACTTCACGTTCATGGCCTTCAAAAAGCGCATGCTGGCACGCCAATAGCTGCAGCAGCTTTACGCAAGTCCGCCGGAAACTGTCGCCTCAGCTCTGCAGGCCCCACCTGCTGCCAAGATGCCTCTGCATTGACTTTCATAACACAGATGGCTTCGCGGAGGCGCAACTTCAAAGCCTGCGCATGCAAAGTCTTGGCACAGTGATAGTGAAGGGTGTAGCCTCCTTGACATTGTTGGGCCAACCTGCCTCCAGGACTTGGTAGTGATGCTGGCGCGGTCATCCGGATGAACCACTGGCGCCATAGCTTGCTGCACGGCGGCCATCTGCTCAGCAAGGGAAGCTTCCTCCAAAGAAACCCGTGCATTTGCTTCAAGGTACCCGGCCGACCAAACCCGCTCGAGCACCTGGATGACAGTGACCTTGAGCATGGGCTCCAAGTCGTCCGTGGGAAACAGGAACTCGCACGGCCCACGAGCCTCAACCAGGAGCTGGATCCTAGCCAGATGCCTCTTCGCAGCATGTTAAGGACAAAGCAGCTCCACGCGTGCCCGACACACACAGTAGCTCCTGACAGTCAGGCTGCCCTGAAAGTCTGCCTTGCTCACTGGCAGCAGCAGGTGGACCAAGTCCCCCCCCTCAAGGTACAAGCGCCGGAGGCGAGCATTCGAGATCTCTATCTTTGTGAGCATCCACCATGCGCCGACAATAGCCATGTCGACTGCGGCGTCCAAGTCGGACGCGTCAAAGGGCCGCAGCGCAGCCGCCACATCAACGAGCAGCTTGAGGGCCTCGAAGTCATAGGAGTCTTGGGCCTCAGTCACTGCTCGAACTGTGTCCATAACGGCGAACCTGATCTCCTCCCCAATGGGCTGGCCAAGGGTCCGCAATTGATGCGCGATGGCTGCTCCGAAGTACAGCGAGCAGGAGTGATGAGCAGGAGTGATAGCCCACTCTCTTCAAGGAGGCGCCCACGCTATGGATCAAAGTCACTGTCAGCGGCCAAGGTGGCAGCTCTCGCCATTTGAGCCTGCTATCCAGGGATGGTCTCGCGGTGGCTGCCAGAATGGCTGCCTTAAGCTCAGCCAGCGCTGCTGCCCTATTCTGGGGCTGTGCTGCTTCTAGAGCGGTGGGCCAGGAGGCCCTACTCCTTGATTGGGCCGCTGGGTGATCCGGGCGCCCAGGCGGCAATGCAACTGTCGTCTCCAGTCTCCCTCTCACGATGGCCTGCAGCTTCCACGAAGGCACGCCTCGCATCAGCAAGGCAGCGGCGCACGGAAGAATGTCCTGAACACATCGGACGCCCTGCACGAAGAGCTCGGGCGCTAAGTCCTGGAAGCCTGTCGCCCTAAGGCGCAAGCTGAGCACAGAGCGTCTTCCAAGGGCACACGGCATGCACGCAAACACTGTTAGCAATATGGCGGCCAGTCGGGCAAGGGAAACCGCTACCCTGCCCAGTGGCCTAGCCATACCTGAGTCCTAGGAATGGCCGTCACCAACAAGCGAAAATCTTCAGAATTATTGGTGCGCCACTCGGTGGCACCTGCCCGTCCATAAGCCCCAGGCAAACTGCAGTCCTGACGGGGGTAGCTTCCCCTAGCTTAAGGCCTGTCAACAAGTCAAGCACGGGTCGAGTGGCTGCACAGAGCCTCGTCCAGGTAGATCATCGAATGCCTCGCGCCCTCGAAGAAGCGGTCATAGATCACGGATTCGTCCGTCCCATGAACATCGGCCCACGCTCGAAGGGCCCCAGCGGCATGCGCCATGTCGAGACGATCGCCGATCATGGCTCGAGTCTTCAAAAATCCACTCCGGGGATCTCGAACCGCTGGCTGCCGCATCGATATCCCCTCCGTTCGCATGTCCCTGAACACAATTCTGTGCAACTCCACAAAGCAGATCAGATTTATATGCCTTCCGTTGTTCAAAAGCTTTAGATTCATGGCATTTGTTGCTGCTGATGTGCCCTGGCATCGCTGGCACCAACATAACATATCCCTTTTTGCCATGTTTCAAACAGACTCACGCTTTTGCTCGAAACAGTCTCACTTAAAGGGCTGTAGATTTCCCGCGGAATTAAGGACTTCCTCTTCCCGGAAGCACTGGCCGGGTTTCCGGAGCCCTTGTCTCTCTCTCCTGTCTTCATTCATCTAATTCCAACTGTTAGCTGACGTGATTTGAGGCAAGGTTATGATTGCTTCTATCCAAATCTATCACATGGTCAGGGGCAATGACACATCAAAAGTGCATGTCATTCTGCTCTGCCAACCAGAAGCATTAAGGGAAATGGCACACTGCCACTGCCTTGGCCAAGGAGATGCAAGACCAGAACTGCATGCTCTGCGAGTTGATCTGCTGTCCACACGCTTGCACAAACATCCACACTGGGACCAGAACACTGAACACTCACACCTCGAAACTCGAAACCTTCTTTAGCTTAAACGCATCTGCGACGCCGATGGACAGGTAGATCGCAATGCAGGTCGCAAACAGGGCAATCGTGCCACCAGCCACCGACATGTGCGCTCCATAGCGATTGGTCACAACGCCTGCATCCTTAAGCGGGCTAGAGACGTGCACGCGCCTTCCGTATCACATTCTAAACGCAGCATGTACTGCCGATGGCACTAACCCTAAAACTTCTCAGACGCAGGTCCATGCAGATGAAGTTCCCGAGATCCTCTGGCACACCATGCGATGCAAGTTGTCTCCTTCAGGTACTGAACTTGTTGGACAATCAGCAGTCCTTTGCCAACGCCAGCGTGTCCAGCTGTGCCTGCAGCATTCTGACACAAATCTGGTGAAGATTGTAGGCCCCCACCGGGGACCTCCCGAGCTCTGAGTTCAGGTAGTCGGGTGCTTTGAACATGAAGCTCAACAGGCCCAGGGACCATAAGCTGCACACCTATGCACTGCATCTTGCCGGTCGGGCCTGCGAATAACTATACGCCTTCTTCACCACAGGGCTCCACACGCCGAAGGTGTAGGTGAAGCCCGTCAAGAAGCACGTGAAGCTCCCTGGCTAGGAAGTGACGCGCACTCTCCACGCGCGCTCTCTTAGCGCATCATGGCTCTTGGAAGGGGCGCGCGCGTTTTTGGGCAATGCAGCCAGTCACCATTTGGCTCTTTGAGACTGGAAGGCCTCTGCAACACCTCTTTCAAACTCTGTTCATGCATGAGACCATAATTTACACCATGGTCTCTGCATGACCTCTCACTGACCGAACTTCAGCGCCTCGCTCCACCACTCTCATAATTTGCATTGCTTTGTAAGGCATTGAACCTCCCAGCCCGACGTTTGCCATATTGATCTGTCCCGGCCCGTGTCAGAAACTTTGAGTGCTTCAGCTTGCCCCAGCAGATCCCAGCAGTAGGGCGGATTGCTTGCTGAAGTATGCGGTGGATGTGGTGGATGTGGTGGATGTGGTGGATGTGGTGGATGTGGTGGATGTGGTGGATGTGGTGGATGTGGTGGATGTGGTGGATGTGGTGGATGTGGTGGATGTGGTAGTGTGACGGGCGGAATTGTCAGCCTGCATTGATGAGATGTTTAGACAAACAAGAAAAAGAATGAAGGCCATGATGCGCTTCTGGTTCGGGCTATGAAGAACATCTCGGAGGGACAGCAAGTTGAAGACTTGCACTCCTACGCGATACCCTAACTTTCTGACTAAGAATGTACAAAGTAGCCCTCTCCTGCGCAGAAAGTCCACCAAGCGCCATTGCCAGCTCGCTCTCGCATGGCCATGGTAAAGCTGCAACGTTCGAGTTGGCAGGTGCGGGCATCTTGTTAGCTGTTGGAGGCTGGCACCTTCAACCACCCTGTACAACCAAACGTCTCTGTCACCATGCCTGAAAAGGTGAATGCCTGTATACTAGCATGGTCCTAGTCAAATTTCTGGCAGTTCTGCCCGAAGCAGGGTGATGTTCCTTCATTGTTGAGTGTCTGTCATGTCATGACGCACGTGGGGGATTGCTCTGAAAGCTTCATATTTTTAAGTCTGGTCAAGGCTGTAGGGGCTGTATCGCTCAGGAAGCATGACATATCAAACGGAAAAGACACTTTGCAGATCCCCCGGAACCCCTCCGATGCCAGGCAAGCATTTTCGTGTCGAGGTGTCGCATGTGGAAAACCTTGAATTCCTAAGAGTCCACCGAAAATGGAGATGGGAATTGCAGTGATTAGGCAAGTGTTTGCTCTAACTCTATTCGGTGGCTTCGGGGCTGGACGTGACCATGCGCGAAAAACGGCCTGGAAGACGGTGACGAAGGCTGAGATTCAGCCCGCGCCCATCAACAGAAGCACGGTTAAAAGTTAAGTCTGCTCAAATACTTGAGCAAAGAGTTGGCTCCGCCTGAGACTTTGGCTTGAGATTGAGCAGACATCCGAGCCTCAGGTGAAGGCCGCCTTCGTCGCAACATTCTGGCCCCTTAAGCCCCGGGTGCGCACCGGCAGTCTGTGGAAGCTGAAGACAGCTCCAACTATGCCAGGAGCGCCTCGCAGGCGCATCGGTCCGTGAAACTTCATGTGCAGATGCACAAATGAGCAGAAAGAATCAATTAAAGTTCGCCAACATGGCGGCTTTCTCCGTGACAACAGGAACATTGCAAGGCATTGCCTTGCTCGGGAAAATGGAGATTGCAGCTTCACGTTGCCCATTACCATCATTACCGTTTCCGGTTGAACCTCTTGCTGCTGGTAGTACCCACGGCACCCTGCTAGCCATCTGGGACTTGAAGCTTGCCGGCAGTGCGTCAAGGCGCTGCCAATCAGCTATGACCTCTGAGGCGAAGCCAAGGAACGAAAAGCGAATGCGGCAAAGTTGTCACGATGGATCAAGAACGTCAAGTGCAAATGACACGCACGGTGCATTCCCTCTCTATCCACTGGAAGCTTCCTCGAAAGAACGGCTGAGTGAGAAGCACGGCAACAGCAGATGGCACCTCTCAGGTGCCGAAGTTGCTGAAAGTCACTCGAAATCACTCGCATACAACACCAACACGACGAGAACACCACCTGATTATTCTTCTTGATCTCCTGACTGCGCGGAACGACCAGGGCCTGCCAGCACTGCAGATACAGACCACGCTGAGACATGCCAGCATCTGGTAAGCCAGACCTGACCTCTGTGGTAATTGCAGCCGCACACGTCGGCCGTAAGGTCGAACCATTGTACCTGCTCGATGTATGTCTTGCTTTCAATTGTGGCTTTCAAGCGTTTGGGAGGCACACCGAATCACAACATCGCCATTCTCCACAGCGACAGTGGCAGCCCCTCCCTGATTGAAGGCCCCGCAGACCAGGAACTCGGCAAGTGGGTCCTCTCCAAGTGAAGTTGATGGCGCAGTGGCTGATAAAGCCAGAAACACAGAACTGCGGGCTCAGAGACATCCCTGAGTAGTGACATGTGGTAGCGACAACGGAAGCTTCACAAGCAGTTGTCATCTGAGCTTTCAGACCCTGCCCAAACAGGCTGCAATGCCGAACGAATACCAGGTCCTCAAATATTCGCTGCACTGCGCGTCGCAAAGGCCGGGCCTCTGTTTAGGCAGAGAGTTTGCAGCAAGCAACAGATCAGCAAAGGAATGTTACAATTGTCTTTGATGACAGGTTCGCTGAATGTCCACATGGCTCGCGCAGTGACACGTTCAATTCCTTGAGCATCACAAACGAAAGGAGCCTGAAGACACTGCTATGCCTGGAAACTTTCCTAAGGTAGCATCTTTTACATTGCTCTATGGCATGCAGGCTCTTGCAAGTTGAAGCATATGTGTCTGCCAGGAAACGTTAGGTGATGCTAAATCTATTCACAAATCTTACCTGGCTCGCCACAACTTCGAGGGTCATGTGAGGGACCTTCAAGAATGACCTGTCATTCGGCATGCCTGCGACCCTTCATGTTTTAGGATTGCAGCTCTGCATTCACCAAGCTTGGTACCACTCTACAATCCTAAAGCTGAAGTGATTCTGGCGTAGGGGGAGCCCTTGCAGAGCTAGCTTGTTCAGTGCATCCTCTGGGCTTCACGCTCCATAGATGGCATTCGAGCCAGAGGCCAGCACAAGCTCCTCCACGTCGGCCTCACGCTCTGCAAGCTTTCAGGAAGCCGGTTTGCACCCCTGCTGACAAGACAAAAGAAAGCGGAAGTAGACATGTCATGAACAGTGCATCTATCGAGTGCGCTGAGCGCCCGACAGTCCACGAAAGGTCCAGCGGCTGGGTGGGTCGCCCATTCTGTAAGGCAGTCTGCGCAAAGCGGGGCTTGCTTCCAGTCCAAGGTTAGGTTGGGAGGGGAGATTGACATCGAAAGCTGCTGTAGAATCTATTTGTCGAAGACTAGGAGCCTGCTTGCATCAATTTCTTGGAAAAATGGGAGCAGTATGGAAACCATTACAGCGCAGTAAACCAGCCAAAACGACCTTGAACATCAACATCTGGCAGAGCATCAAATATTAAGAGCCCTTTTGTGCATTGTGTCCTGAAAAATGCAGTTATGGCGCGCACTTGGCAGGCCATCAACTATCATCATCCTCCCCATTCTGTGGCGGCCAAACAACCAAAACCTGCTCCTTTGCTTGTCGGATTACTTTTAAACTTGTTGGATCTCACTTCTCAAACATGCAGGTTTGGGGCGCCTGAAAATGCCTGTGAAATGAACAGATGGTACTGCCACGTGCTTGCGACTCAAGGGTGCATGGCAGCCCATTCTGCATATCAGCGGGGACGTGCCACAGGGTGAAATTGCATGCCTCTTCGAAGGCTGCGAGCGCTCGAGCCTTTGCGTTGCCAAGAACCAGTCGCACCTTGGCAATGGAGAGCAAGGAGATGCAAGGTGCATACTGCGAACCGTCAGCAAATCAACACAGTGCTGCTGGGGTAGAAGCGATGAATTGCCTTCGATGGCTTCGCAGGATTTACCATGATTACTGTAAGGAGGCGGGAAAGGTCCAAGGTTTTCTCTAGCAGGGTTCCCTTCAACATGAAGCCCCCCAAGGTCACCCCGTGCGAAGTGGAGAGCAGAGGCACGATCTCCTTGAACTCTTGCTCCGTCAGTGCTTGAAATATCAACAGCTCGTCGATGCGGTTTAAGAATTCTGGCCTGGCAGCACTCCCGGCAAGGCTCGGCATTTCTCTGCAACTTACAATTTTAGACTGCTGCAAGCAAGTTCTGCGAACCGGCCATAACCGGCCAGTATTTGGTACGCAGGAGCAACACTGCCGAGGCACAACTTCAATCGAACTGAGGCTGATCTGCTTTCCCAATTGCCGCAAGCATCCGCAAGCATCCGCAAGCATCCGCAAGCAATCAGCAGCGAACTGAGCCTGAACTTTTGCTGAAGCTGCCGCTGCACAGCTGCTCGAAGCTGGTCATAAGTGCCCACGCCAGAGGCCTGCCAGATTTTTCGAGAGCTTTCGAAAGCTGCAGCTTGCAAACACCTGCAAACCCAACCCCTGAAGAAGCATAGTGCATTCCATCTTTCGGGCATTGCCGCTTGTCGAACTGTTGGCAAAATGGAACTAAATTTGAAGATGCTACCAAGAAGGCAGTGTCTGTACGGAACATGCACACACACCTCCAAATTGAATTAATCACAGTCTACTTCCGAGACCTGGCATGTACATCAGCTCCTCATTCTGCCGCGCAATGCGACTGACATGCTACCAAAGGTTGGTACACAAGCAAGGCCCTCGGGGGACGTCAGGAGCTGCCTCCACTTTCAGGCGCCCAAAGAGTCGTGGGGACTCCTCTTCTTTGGGCAGAGTAGTCTCAGAATCCTCTAATCCCTCCGATTTGATTCCCAGATTGGACTCTGGGATCACAGGCAGCTCCGCTTCCTGCTCAAGAAAGTCCGTCGAGGGCTTGGCTTCCACTGGATCCGGAGCTTCCTTGGCCTCCGGCTCCGTGGCCTCCGCGGCCTCCGCCTCGAACGCGTCGGTCACGGCTTGGCCTGCTTGGCTTGCTTGGCCGGCTTCCTCAATGATCGCCTCGCCCGGCACCGCTGTCTCCGTTGCCTTGGAGCTTGTCGCATTGGCAGCCTTGGACGGCTTCACCACGGGCTTGGAGTCTGAACAGCCCATCGTTACGGCTTTGAGGATAACTGAAAACTGTCGGACAGTTTTTTGCTTCAGCCCAAACCAGCCAGCGAGCAAGGGTTTACTGCAGTTACCCCAGACAGGTCATGTCAGCATGCATGCTGCGCATGATACCGCACAGGCTCATTTTGCAATCTTCCCCGATATGCAATCCGAAGGAGTCTTTCTTGACTTCTGCTGGACAATCCAGGCAAACTTGGGAACCATACCTGTACAGGAGCCTTCAAGAAAAGCTGGGTGCAGAAGATCCGCGCTGTACTGCACTGGATCAGGAGCAGAAGCGACTGCTCATACTCTTCGCTATGTGGAAAGTAGAGAGAAGCAACCTGTGCATCCTGCGTGGCAGTGCCACCTGCGACATCTGCAGATTCTCAGAAGGCAGCTGGCGCTGAAGGCCTGAAACTGTCAAACGGCTCCAGTTGTCTCGGCGGCAACGGAAAGAGCATGGTAGCACCTTCCCTGGCAGCCGCAGGGACTTGGACAGCAACGAATTGGTCCATAGCTTGTGGGTCTGGAACGAGCATGCAGGTGCCAGGGGCTGCCTTGGGCACAGTGACTCGCATTTGGAGTTCTGTCGTGTTGCTTGATGTCCCGTTCCAACCTGGCGGTGGCCGGATGGGCCTGGTTTCTTCGAGTCGCAAGATTGCAGTGGATCATTCTCTGGAAGTCTGCCTGGTAGCGCTGGCTGCCAAGCGTGTAAGGCACCACCTCTAGGCCCGCCATGTACGCGCGCTTCCATGCCATGTCCTGGCTCTGCAAAAAATCTCGCCAGGAACCTCCGAGTTTGACCTGAAACAGCCTTCCATCATGCTGCTGGAGCGCGCGCTCTGGCCTGATTGAAAGGCTCGAAAGGCTTGAGGTGTTATGGCCACTGCCAAGATGACCACAAGCCATGAGCAAATGGCATCAAACCAACCATTGTGAGCCGAGCACATTGGCCTGTTGAAGAATTTCCTGGCTTCCAACATTGGAAGTCATCACCTGAGCATGAGACACTTTTGATGCCTTTAAGCAATGCCAACCGATGCTGACGCCACGCAGCTTGGGGCCCTGCAATGATGCAGTTCGAGAAGTTGACAGTTCTCCCCTAGCATGCATAGGTTTCTGCGCTAGAATTCAGCAACTTCACCTCCTCGCTTGAACACAGTACAAGTACTAGCCTCCATGCAGATTTGGCATACGTAATGCCATTCAGCTCTCTTTCCCAAGCCAAGCCTTGCCATCTGTCAAGCGTCCATCCTCCAGGACTTGCAGGAGGAGATTCAGCACCTTTGCAGCTTGATCCGGAGAAAGAATAGAATGTGTGAGATCTGCAGAGCTCACACAGCTCCCAGCGCCGCCTCTGAATGGGCTTTTTCAATCTCATCCAAGACCACCACGCTGTATGGCCGGCGACTTGGTGACCCAAAAAGGCAAGCATCTAGATGCAGAATGATGCAGATGCGGTGATGAAATGTCATGAATAAGGCGTGCACCGCACGGCCTCTGTGAGCTGGCCACTCCGGGGATCATCATAGCCAACCTTTTGTGAAGCTACAAAAATTGTGCTTGCTGTTGCACATCTCCTGTTTGCTTAACTGTCCAGCCCCGAGAGGCCCAAGAGCTCTGAGCCCCAGGACGTAGCCAGGTGGAGCGCCAATGAGCCGTGACACGCTGTGTGGCTCAGAGAACTCACTCATGTCAAGGCGAACCATGGCCTGTCAATCAGCGCTCAACCCTGGCTTAAATGACTTTGAATCCTGCAGAGCAGAATTCTAGCACAGCTCTGCACAGCTGACAGCTCTCACTCCGTTTTGCTGCCTTGAGATCTGCATAGTACTCCTCTGCTAAGACGCGGCACAGTTCTGTCTTTCCCACACCTTCACAACAGGACTGCTTCAAAACCGTCATCTGCTGATTGGGCATCAAGGCTTGGGATCAGAATGCAACAATGGGCCAACCAAACAGCATCATGAGTCACAAATGAAAGCCAGAAGAATAACATTGCGATTGCATCTTGGACCAGTCCCAAAAAGCCTGTGGGGCCAGCGAAGAAGAAGGAGGCTGTCGGCCGGCTTGATCCTCCACCACAATCAGCCCAGACTCAGCCACAAAGGGATTCAAAACGAAGAACCACGCGCTATACCTGCGAGACCGCTCCGTGCTCGCCGCACAGCTCGCGACAAGGCACTAACAGCCGCTGCTTGGCCTGGACTGCGCATTGGCGAGCATCTACACAGAAAATTCCTCACTGTTGCGGTTGGCAGCTGCCCAGCCTATGATGCGTTGCTCCAGTGTCTCCTGCATCAGATAAGCAAAGCCGGGATTACAGCTTGGCGTAACAGATTGTTGTTACTGGGCTGCTTGACTGGTCCCACTCAACACCAACTCGGCTGTTGTTCCCTTGGAGTAGCCTGTTTCTAAATGTTTTTTGCTGCTCCCACGTGCAAGGGGTGGGGTGGGGATTCAAGAAGGTCCCACGGCAAATGTTCAAGCCCTTAGCGCCCAAAAAAACATCCTGCAACCGTTCGGAACAATAGCAAAAAAATTCCCCTGCGGCTGTGCAGGAGGTCGTTTCGCACAAGTTTCCTGTAAGCGTCGCACGGTCACTAGACCATTGGCAGGAACCATCTCTTCTTGCCCCGTGTGCTAGCCACCAGTGGACAGACCCAAGCATAACCCTGCTTTGTTCAACGCGACGTCTCCCACAGCAAGATAACACAGCTCCCCGCTGCACAGAATGCCATCCAAGACGAGCAATCCAGCTACCATGCATTGAAGGTTATGCCGGTCGCCATCCCAACCATTCCCAACAGTCGCAGCGGGGCAAAAGGCTAAAGGTTTTGCCATACCTTGCGCGAGCTTCTCATAATATTGAAGCACGACGTGTTGCAGTCTTGCTAGCCCGCTGCTGGGCTATGCTGAGCCAATAACTATCTTTTTAGCTAGCCATTTGATCACATTGCGAAACGCGGGCATAAGGCCCATGACTGAGGAAAAGTAAAGGAAACAAAGCCGAATATGGATGAAGCATACCATGTGACCGTGCCATCATCTGAGAATCATCTGCTCTTTGAACGTCTCCTTTGGCCCATCACGCTTTTTCTCTTTGGAGCACACCAGCCTTTTCCTCAGGCCCGTCTCCGATCACGAGTCGGACCACCTGGCTTGCAGTTTGCCTGGTGGAATGCCCCATCAGGCCCGGCCCAACGGACACGGGCAGCCTAGAATGGCCTAGAATCGCTAATGGCGTTTTTCCATGTTCGGCTGGCCATACCTAGATGGGCCGAAAATCTCTCAAAAATCCTTCCCTAGCAGGGCCCTCCTTTGCATGCAAATCTGGCCCCCCCCCCGAGATTGGCCCGAGCGTGAACTACCTCACTGCAGTGTACAGTAGACAGGCGAGCGGGCGTCTCTGTCCTTTTCCACTCTCTACGCGCACTGGAAACTCCCTAAAGCTTTGAGAGCGGCAACAGCAACATGCCATG